TTTTTTCGAGTCAAGTTTATATTTAATGTTTGTTTTATATTAAAAGTATTACTTTGCCAATTTAACCGAAACAATCAATAATTTGGCCTATTTTGTGTTTGAATTTCCAAGTATTTTTATAATAATTTAACGAAGTTGTTGATCATTACATGAATATATTCGATCTGCCTATATAATTTACATTCTTGAAATATGAATTTAAATTTTAAATATTTTATAATTATTTTTTTTACTAAAAATAAGTCACATCTAAATTAATCTAATAATTATTTCAAGTATAATAAAAATTTATATATTTTACCATAAAAAAGTGTAGACAAATCAATTCTTCCAAAACGAATTATTTTGCAAACTGTAGAATATTTATTATATCTAAGTTTCATCTTTTCATGTTTATATTGAATGGTATTGAACAAATAAAAAGAAATACCGTAAATCTGGAAATAAATGGTTCATTTTTTTAAATCTTCCATAAATTAATGGTTCAATTATCATGTTTTTAACGCAAAAACAAATAAAAAACCCAAAAGTGCAGTTTTAAAAAACTAACCAAAAGTGAAAACAATTTATAAAAAATAAAACAAACAATTAATTCAAATATTCATTTGGAATTGATAAAACCACATTTTTCATTCCTCAATGGAAGAAAAAACAACTTTTTCCAAAGCCGGATTCATATTAACCCTTTTCTCCTCTAACGTACCAGCACAAATCCCACACCTGAAAAAAGACTCAACAACAGAGTTTTTGATTTCTGTTGGAATTCTGTTATAGATCTGAAGAGATCTCATAATACACTCCTTCCTTTTTTCTCCACGGGTCACACGACCTGCACGATTGCTATTTAAATTGTACCATCTCAAATACTCTTCCTTTGATTGTGTTTTAAACCATCCAAATATACCATAATCCAACGGCTGACAGAAACCCGTGGAGTTGGAAGGGAGTATAAATATGTCAGCGACTTCAGCCAGGCTCTTAACAACGTGTTCCGTGAGATGGGATCCATAACCATCACATATTAGAGCTACCATTTCAATATGGTGCTCTTCCATATAAGGACGAAGACATTTTTCATTCCAAGATACCATCAGCTCCTCGTTCATTTTCCCACTTTCATTGACTTCCACTATTGCATCACATTCAAGACTTTTCGGCACTT